TAAGTGTATAAAATACACTTATCGGGGAGCTTGCTCTCTTTCATCAAGTCAACAACTCTTCTTTCTCGCCTATTTCTAGGCACAGTATCGCTATGAGACCTATTCCCAGGTCCTTCACTCCTAACATTTACGAAACTAATTTCTTCCTTATCCTCTATATAATCGGAAGTGCAACGTAGGAGAATCCTCGCCCTTTCTTTTTAAATCATGAAAGCAGCGGGGAGGTCTTTTTAGCGACCTTCAATTTTCAAATATCACATTTAGCATCATCGGTAAGAAATCTATAAAACTCATGAAGATTGTCCTTCATGTATCTATGGCTTAGATTTTGGATTCATAATTTTTAAGAAAATGATGAAAGTTCACTAGAAGAAGATTACTTGTTGGACAATGAAGGAAATTTTTAAGGGATTTCGTTGAAGTATGTTGTTAGACATTGATCTAATTATTTAACCTTTTCTCCTCGACACAATCTCTCTATTTTTCATCGAAAGCTTTTAATATTTGCACAATTTTCTTGAAGTAGTGTGAATGAAACTTGAAGTTGAAAATTTGCCTGCTTGGACACCTATTGAGTCACGCCATCAAACAACTTCAAATTTTTAGATTTGGAACCATTTTATTTATCTTTACTACACTTGAGCTTTTTTACTTGTTTAATCAAAAACCTCGAACATGACACAGCAGCTTTCATATGTATGTGACAACAAAATTTGAGATCTTTACATATTGAACATTTTTGATTTGTCATTTTTTTTGCCCCGGAAAAATTACTCTTATCACATAAAAATAAATTTGTTTTCCTTTTGAGTTTAACCCAAATTATAAGTTACTTTCCTTATTGAAAATATATTTGATTTCTTAGTTTTCTAATATGTTTCTATTTAATGTAACTTATTATCAACAAAAATGAGCTATTCTTATTTAAATCATTAATTAATGTAAGAGTAATGCTATTCATAGTCAGCGACCGACAATAATCATCATATGTAGCAGCATGTTATTTGATACATTAAATTGTTATTAGGTTGTCTTCCAATAATGTCCCAAATAACAAGTTGTCACACATGATGACTATCGGTAGTCTCTGATAGCATTAATCTTAATGTAATAGTGTGTTAGCAAAAACGAAAGTAAAATTTATATTTTCAACTATATTAATTACTTTTTTTTTTTTAATTTGTGTTAAAATGAAAGTAAGCATATCTTTGTAAGACATATGGCGTATCTAGTTTTACCTTGATTTTTGTGGAAAGTGTGTCTTGGTATATTAAACCCCCGTTTGAATCCTATTATACAAATACTCGTTTTTTTTTCAAACTCATCTTTAATTACACATTTTTTTTCAAAAGATAATTTTACATATAAACTTAAGAAATTTCTCTACTTAAACCACACATTCTCCAAAAAAATTACTATTGCAAAATTCATTCTTTTAAAAACTGGGTTTCAAACACACTTTAAATGTGGAAGCAAGAAGAAAGTTCTTAACCTACCGCACTGATTAAATGGGCATAAGTGTAGTGTCTAGATACAATGAATGTGCAAGCAACGTGAAAAATAATCAACTCCAATGTCATTACAATGAGAAAAGATGACAAGATTTGCCAACTACAAAATGTTTGGTTTGAGTACTATTTGAGAAGACACGACAGTGACGTTTTAATTAATGTTTTGAAAATCGACCACTGTATCTACTCAAAAAAAGGTAAGGATCAAGATTAAAAGGTTCAATCGAAGTCGAACTGTAATCAAACCGGAAGCAATAAATATATAAATACACACACAAACAATAAAGTATTATAAAAATAATAAATTTTTTTAATTTGTAAATTAAATAAATGAAAAGATTGAGGAGAATATTACAATTCGGTTAGTTGGGACCTAAAATCAAATTAATCAATTAGACAGATATTTAAAAAATGATTTTGATGGGCATTTTAACACTTTTTGTTATCCCACATTAAAAGTTTATGTAACCAATTGAGAGAAGTGCATTTATAAAAGAAGCATTCCATCCCATATTCCTATATGGGCCTTTGATTGTAGTGTATGAACCCATTAATTAATTTATAAAAAAAATTAAGTTAAAATTGATAAAATCGGTAAATTTGCCACCGGTTCACAGTTAAACCGACCGGTTCAATGGGTTTTGAACGGTTTTTACTATAGTTGGTTAATCGGGTGTGACTGGCCTGATTTTCTGTCCAATTCCCAATTTTAATAAAGAAATTTTTTAAATTTAATTGTATCTAATACTTCCTCGTTCTTACTAAATTTATCATTGTGATTTGTGTTGATAAGGATGATAAGATAATATTATAGGAAAAAAAGAGAGATTAAAACATCAAATAAGTGATTAAAACCAATAAGATTTATCAAATAAGTGATTAAAATACTTTACGTGCCACATTGATAAATGATAACAATAAAATTTTAGATGTGATAGTTTTTCTTTTTCTGTTCCCCCCTTTTTATCTAAGTTAGAAAAAATGTTTTTTTTTTAAAGCAATGTGTAAAGAGGAGGGATATATCAATCCTTGAATCTTTAATCCTAGAAGTGGAAATAAATATTCTGGATGAATTAGAAAAAAGATTTGAGTTCAAGAATAAAAATAGACTCGCATTCAGAAATAGTCAAATAGATGTATCCTTGTTTGATTTAGATAAAATTTAGAGCTTTAATAAATTTTGATAAAAATTGATAAAATGTGCAGTAGATTTGTTGTAATATTTGATTTCAATAATTATTGATTTTGATTTAAATCTACTCATATTTTTAAATTGAACTAAATAGGGACGGTGTCTTTCCTCATAGGGTAATTCCAATGAATAATGCTGCGCTCTTATTTAATTTCACCTTTTAATTATCAGATAATATATCGCAGTGTAAGTTGATCTTTGGAGTCATCTATGGTGATCCCTCACCACTCTCCTTTACCCAATCAGCTGCAGCCACGTTTCGCTACCACAATCTGAAAATCATATCATTTGTCGATACAAATTCCCATTTTCTCTTACACAAGCTGCTCCTGCTGAATTCTCAACAATGTCTTATTCTATACCATCCAAAATGAAGGCCTGGGTTTACAACGAGTATGGTGGCGTTGAGGTGTTGAAACTTGAGGCCGATTATGCAGTGCCGGAAGTGAAGGACGATCAGGTCTTGATCAAGGTGGTGGCGGCGGCTCTTAATCCTGTTGATTACAAGAGGAGGCTGGGGAAATTTAAGGCCATTGATTCGAAGCCTCCTGTAAGTTTCTTTTACTCCTTTTTTCTCTAAGTTTTTAATCAGTTTCTTTGTGCCATTATGAGCATGTTTCGATAAGATTAAAATAATCAAAAATCACTTTTAAGTCAATTTTTTAATCAGCGAAGCACGATTATGCCTTGGGAAAACTGAATAGTTTATCATGTACTCTTGGCCATGAAAATGGATGCTGGAGGTGTTACTCACAGAACATATATATTTGTCTTCAATTTAGCCTACTTGTTAGTTTGAAAACATGGTATAATTTTATCATTATCGATTTCGCTTAATATATCATTCTTAATATTCAATTTGATGGTGTAAGTAGACGAAACTTGACAAGTTCCTTGAGAAGTCTTTCTCACTTTCTTTCTTTCTTCTGTTTGTTATTTTTTGTCGCTCCTATTAAATAAATTTGGGTTATAAACATAACCAATTGGAGATTGTTAGAGTAATGTGACAAATGA